CCCGGGCCGCGGCAGCAGGTCCCTGGCAATACTGCGCTGACGAGCAGGCAGCGCTGCAAGCTGGTAACTGCCGAGCGCTGCTTAACTGCCCTGTTAACCTGCTGCTCCGCCAGCTCTTAACATTTGCTCGGGTTTCTCCACTGCTGAGCTAGTGCATGGAGTACTGAACCGTAATGCACAGATCCCTCGCGAAGGGCCGCGCGCAGCCGCAATCCGCGGCAGGGATTTGCGGCTAACCTGCCCCTCACCTCAAAAGCATCAGGAAGGGCTTGAAAGCCTACAGGGATGGGAATGGGAATGCTTGCAGGGAGCAGAGCCTGTTAAGGTTTGAGGCAGAGCGTGAAGGATGCCCCTGGGGACCACAACTGCCAGGGCTGCTAAATGGGTGAAGCGAAGTGAAGCAACCCCGAATCCCCTGCGCCAGCACTCACAGCCGCTCCAGCTCCTTCATGTCATCGAAGGCACCGCGCTCCACCGTGCTGATCTGGTTCTCCATGAGCTGCCTGCGGCAGGGAAGTGCAGAGAGCGGGTTTGCTCGCGGCGGCCACACTCGTCCCAGCCCAGCCCTGGCCCTCCCGAGGGCGCAGGGTCCTCCCTGCCCCCCCTGCCCCGCTCGGGCACTCACAGGACGCGCAGCTGCTTCAGCCCGGAGAAGTCGTTCTTGTTGATGCGCGTGATGTTGTTGCCGTTCAGCTCCCTGCAGAGAGAAGAGGCCGAGGTCAGTGGGGAAGCTCCCCAAGGGGATGTCCCGCAAAGGGCAGCCGCTGCATTTGCTCCAGCCCCGGCCTGGGGACACACCTGCACACCCCCAAAACGGCATGAGGCTGCAGGAGGTCTCAGCCAAATCCCCCCCAGAGAGCCCCTCCAGGCAGGGAGACAGGAGATCCCCAAGCCCCACAGATGCTCTGCCCAGCTCAGGGGCAGAGTCCCTCCAAGACCCAGCCAGATCCCCCTGGGTTGCATAACGCTGCTTTTGAGCAGCCCCTGCACCAGCTCGCAGTGCCCGTGATGCGCTCCAGGGGTGCAGGATGCTGCTCCACAGCGCGGGAGGGCTCCCAGGCCAAAACCGAGGCTGCGGCCCCGCTGCCTGCCCGGAGCTCACACGGAGAGCAAGGAGGGAAGCGGAGCAGCGGCAGAGGGAGCGGTGGCCAGCGGGGCTCCCAGCCAGCGGCCGTGCGGGGCCGAGGTCGGTGGCAGTGTGGCCCCGGAGCAGCCCTGCTGCCACGGGGTGGCCGGGCAGCGCCAGCCCAGCCGCACACCCCAGGGTGCTGCTTTTGTGCTGCTGAAGCGGCTGGTAATGGCTAATGAGCTCCCGCTCGCCATTCTAGCCCCGTAATTACGGAGCTATTCAGGCGCCGCGCTTGCCGGCTCTTGCCATTATGGAGCCGTGCGTGCCTGTGCCGGAGAGGAGGGGGCCGGCACGTTACTAGGACACAGCTGAATGAGAGCAGGGAACGAGCAGACGCTCCCCGGCCCCAGCGATTAAACCGAACCCCCTCTCGGGCTCAGCTCCCCGCGCGGCCGGCGCGAAGCTGCCCAGCTCCCGGGCACCGCGCCAGAAACCCAGGCTGCCGGAGCGCTCCAGGTTCATATCCAGCAGAGCCTTTGCTTCAGAGATGCTTTGCCCCAACATCCTAAGCGGTCCTTGCAAGGCAGGTCCCCAGGGCCACTCTGGAGACTGAACTGGAGGCAGCGGTGCAAGTCTCTGCTGCCCACAGGATCCCCCCTTGCCTCCTCAAGCACCTTTAGCCTTCCTCTGGCTGCAGCGCAGTTAGGAGACCTCCAGATGAGGGTCTTCAACTAAAAACCACCTCAGGCTGCACAGCCCGAGGCTGGCTGGGATCAGCGCCCACGCACCTGCGCCAAGGCAGAGCCCGAGCAGGGGCAGCCCGAAGGCAGAGAGGCACAAAGGTGCCAGCACCGCGGCCGCACACGGCTCCTCCTTCCTCATGCCGAGACCAGCATCAAGGTCACTTGGATCAACCGAGTCAGTGCTCAGCTCAGCGCCTCCGGGGTGCTCGGGGGCTGGTGGCTCCCTCGGGTGCTTGCCCTGCCGTGCCCTTGCATCTCCCTTGCTTTTAAGCGCAATAAATGATGCCTTTTGTAGCCAGGATGGGAAGGAAGAGCAGGTAAAACATATTTGTAAGGGTGCCGAGGCAACACTGCTATTTAACTTCGTGCCTTTTTTATTCCCCCCTGCTAAATCACCTTCAGTTCCTCGTGGAGATAAATCGATGGCTGCTGTGCTCAGACAGCAGCTCCCTGCTGCTCGGCAGCCAACCCGCCACCTCGGTGCCCTTTCCCAGTGGAGCGGGACCCCCGGCCCACACCGCTGCGGATGGGCTCACGTGTTGGGGAGCTGCTGGGCTGCACCTCTGGGCTGCGATCTTAAAGCACGGAGTGCAGGGCATGCCCTTTCCCTGTTAATCCATAGGCTCGGATGCTGGAAAGTGCCATTGCGCTCGTCCAGGCTGATCTCCTGCGTCCCAGCCCCCCAGACCTCACACGGTCATGCTGCAGCTAATCTCTATTTGAAACCTTTGCATTTCCCAGCCTCCCGCCCCCAGCCCTCTCCGGGGAGAAAAAAGTCACTTAAAACAAGCCACCCGCTCACTGCGGTGCCTCGGGGTCATCCCAGCACCGAGGGGATGAGGGTGTTGAGTGGGGGGCATTACACAGGCCTGGCTGATATTTGGGTTCAACCTTTGGATGCATCTTTTCCATTTGCAGCATCTAGGAGCTAAACTCGTGCTGTAACCACCTAAGGGAGCAGCAATGCCGGGAGGTAACTCATGAAATGGAGCCAACGTGAGGGATGTTCCCCTGGGCACGGATTTATGGGTGGCAAGAAGGGGCCGAGGTGGCTTCAGGGGCAGAGAGAACAACCCGGTCACTTGTACGGCGGTGCAAAGCACTAGCTGCTTGGCACACACATAAGCCTGAGTCCTGGGGCTCGCTGCTGCCTTGCTCTGCTGCCGAGGCAGAGGGTCTCGCTCCAGGGCTCGTGCTCGGGAGCGGGCGTGCAGAATGACAGGCTGGGCCGCCGGAGCGGCCCTGCTGCGGGAGAAGTTCAGCACCGCGGTGGTGACCGCAGAGGCTGGTGCAGCGGGGCCGCCCGCTGAAAACATCTGTGCCAGCTGTGCTCCCGAGGGGAGGCCGGCAGCGCTCCCGTGGGATGCTGCGTCCTGCCCGCTCCCTGGGGTTTCTCCTCTTGGCCTGAGGCACTTGGCCTCGGTGCACAGCCGTGTCCCTCATCCCAGAGCCCTGGCCCCAGCTGGAGCCGACGGTGCTGGATAATGATCAGGGAAGCAGGGAAATGAAGGCTGCAAGGTCATGCAGCGGCATCGCTGCAGGCCTCCATCAATCCTGGTGCACGCGTAGGTGTCTCGCGCAGTGGGGGTGAGGCTGCCCTGTGCCCCCTCCAGCATGTCACCCTCTCGCTGCTGTGATCCCGTCCCTTAAAGCAGCTGCACACAACGGGAAGGATGCTTTCTCCTGTGCACCAAGAGTGCTTTGCAATCTCCCCCGGCCTCCAGCACCCTTCTCCCTCACCCAGCCTGGTGACACCTGCATAGGTAACAGGCAACGCACGGCCCCTCTCCCTCCCCTTCCCTGTCCAAGTCCTGCAGGGAGGAGCAGGACATGGCCTGTGGGGCTCCTCAAGGCTTTGTCCCCTTGAGGGCGAGCTGCTGGCATGAAGTGTCCAGTGCGGAGAGCTCCAAGAGCCGCTCTGCGCTGCCTGGGGTCATCTCAGAGCCCCGAGCGAGACCCCCAGGCCCAGCCTCGCGTGAGCCCCCCAGCACAGCCGCTCCGGAGGCGTTCAGGAGCTGCTAAGCCTGGCTGGCATCACGATAAATTTTTAAGTGTTACAAACAGCATGGATTGTGTGGAGGAGCGGTCGGGCTTTCTGCGCTGCCTAAGTTATCTCTGGGGTTTTCATGCCACAGCCATTAGCCGCTCGCAGTCAGGGAACGCTTGACATTCGCACAGCATCGTAGTGCGTCACCTTCGGGTTGGGAATAAATAAATAAGCTTGTTCAGCCTTGGCTTGAGGAAAGAAAAGGCAGCAGGTCATTGTTTCCAGGCCATAAACTGGGAAACTGAGGCTCAGCGAAGAGAGCAGCTTTGCCCGGCTGCTCCCAAAATGTTTATTTTTTGTGCAGCGCCGCTCAGCCAGTGGCTGAGCTGCTGGGAAAATTGCTGCTCGGCTGGGAAAATTGCTGCTCTCTTGGCTCCTCAGCACCCTCTGGCACCAAGGCTCGGGGACACAGGCGCCTGCTCCATCTCGGGCTGACGGAGCACCCCGCTCTGGAGGTGGGATTCGCTGGGGGCGCCGCGCAGGCCTCGCTGCCCGCGCGGTGACGCAGCCGTCGCGCCGGCAG